ATCATCATCATCATCATCATCATCAATATTATAGTTTTCTTAATATTCAGTGTCCCTTTCATTCATTATCACTGCTTCATTCAACCTTTTTCGTTTTTTTTTTGTTTTTTTTGTTTTTTTTTCTTTTACTGATTCTATTTTCTTGTACGCCTCTTACTTCTTCGGTTTTCTTATTCTTTCCTCATTTTCCTATTTCTCACTTTTCTTTTTCTTTTACTCTAACTCCTTCTTCTTCTTCTTCTTCTTCTTCTTTTTCTTCTTCTTCTTCTTCTTCTTTACCCATCATCTTTGCTTTCGTCCTCTATTTCATTGTTTACTTTCTCTTCCTCGTACTATTCCTCCTTTTCTCTTTCTCTGCCTCTTTTTGTTTTCCTTTCAGCTTCTTTTTTTGCCTTCTTATTCGAGATGCCGCCATTTTTCCCCCGTACCGGATTTAGAATTCCTTTTCGACCACCCAAATGGCGATACACTTTTACTCTTACAGAAAGGAATGTGCCACTTCGTAGTTGTTATTGACTCGTTTCACTTAATATATTTAAATCTTGTAGATGCGCAGAATGGAAGTGAAAAGTTCGTATCCGTACCAAGACGAGCCTTGACTTAGCGAGTGTTATTTTTATAATACATTTCATTGTGAAGGTTTCCCGCTGAAAAATAAGGAATCTGGAAAATGGGCCGACAACTACACTATGCCGAAGGTCGAATCGGCGTGCTACGTTCAAATACCGACCGAGACTGTTTTGTATTCAATTCGCATTAATGCTCTTGGGAAAGGCACGAATCCGTGTTCCTCCAGCTATGGGTCAAATAACGAGACAGACTAATCTTTGGTAGGTCAGTCAGTCTAGGAGAAGGACTAGCCTGAATTTAAAACCACTCTGAAGTAAGACGGCGTTCATCTTGCCATAGACACGAGCAGGAATTATTTACCCACTGCTCCGCTCAGCAAGATGTGGTATAAGGCCGAGTTGGTATCCGAGCCCGTAGGTTCGGGCAAAAATTCCTATAGACCTCGTAAAAAACGGAGTCAGTTTCCCGAGACAAGACTCTGCCCTTCGACAGAGACATGTCTGGGGGATCGCCAGTGTGTGGTGCCCTTGCAACCCTAAATATGTTACGGAATTCGATGCTAGCCCACAACTATATTTTTTCTCTTTCTGATACGACGAATATAACACTATACCTATGCCTATATATATATATATATATATATATATATGTCTTAACAGTTTGTGACTGGAAGGGATAATTCGAAGAGGATATATATACAGGGAGAGCTCAATGTAGACTACAGAGCAATATAATGCTAATAAGATGAAGGAGGTTTTAATTAGACATTTCGATTATAAATTTCTTGTACTTACTAGGAATTTATAATCGAAATGGATAATTAAAATTTCCATCTTCTTATTATCATTATATATATATATATATATATATATATATATATATATATATATATATATATATATATATATATCTGTGTATATATATATATATATATATATATATATATATATATATATATATATATATATATATATATATATATATATATATATATGTCTGTATATATATATATATATATATATATATATATATATATGTCATTCGCAGACAGTACTGTTTCGCTGTATCACAGCTCCTCAGTGAGACTAGACATCTGAATGCATCAAGCCAGGATCGTAACCCAACCGTTTTGTTGTCAGTCAAAAGCTCCTACCACTGAGCTATCTTCATTCGGTAGAGTGAAACACCTAAATCTAGCCTATTGTTTTTACGAATGCAAACCCATGCCAATCAGCTGAAGTGCTCTATTCATTTTACCGAAGAGCTTTGCGTTAACGCATAATTAGGTGGCTGTTGTTTATAGAATTAGCTTATCACTCAACAGTGCTCAATTGAAATATATTTTCAAGGGATAAATTACAGGAATAAGCAGTCGAGTTTGACGTCGAGAAGATGGTGTTCCACACTTGGAAAATTGGAACGTAGACACCCTCATTTTTAAGAAAAATTTATGGTCACTTGGGGAAAGGAGTATATCTTGTAGAAAAGGAGATATTTTTTAAAAAATATCCGTAGCACAGGTTAACATTTTGGCGAGATTCAATAGTGACACAATCAAGATCTTTCCCTCTACGTATGCTACTTTCTCTTTTAATATGGAGGGAGAGGCATTATTTAGAGGGAACTTGTATTTTTGCTTATTTCTATGTATGACGAATGCATTTGATAATCTGTTATGTATAAGATATAAAATAAAAAGAAAACATTTAAATCAAAACCTTCTATTATTTAGAATAAATGCATAAATAATTTGCATACGTAACTATCTGCAAGCGCTTTAAGGTTTAAAAGGTCGGTACATTGTGAATATGTTTTTCAGATTGTGCACCCTGAGATATTTGTCGAAGTTACAGTCGTTTGTTCTGCAACCTCCTTTGAGGTCACATTGCTGCCTTTGCATCATACACCTTTGTGCAAATTAATTGAAACAAAACAAATAATTCCGTTATTACTTAATTGTTTTCGTATTTTTCCAATTAAACATGGCACAGTGCACATTTTAGTATTTCGTATGTGCATTCCATGAAGTCGTTCCTTTGCAGATTGAACATAGATTCTCAATTGCATTTAAATCAGGAGAGTTTCCGCGCCAGTCTATAGTACTTTGATTTGCTCACTGGCAAGGCTTGCCAGTGTGTTTGTGCAACGTTACAATTTTCGTACGCTTCCTTCCAGTAACGTCCATCGCAGACAATGGCCGTAGGACAACTAATCGACAGTCGAGACAATAGTGTCTAGACGTGATGAAAATCTGACGCAATATTTTTCAAGGTCAAACAAATTTCATCATACACCTCGAATATACATTCATATTACTGCACACCACTGCAAATGTCCTAATCTGAAGAAAAATAGAAAATCGATTAAACCCAATGGGTCTAAAACTGACCGTATGGCGAAAGAAACTAAAGCGATTGTTTCAATTAATTTGCACAAGTGTGTACCTGTGTTTATTGAATCTTTTATTTAATTTTCCGTTGAGTAACCCTGATCAACCAAGTCATGATTTGACGCGTTGTTTACCAGTACAGCCGTTTTTTGTTTGTTTGTTTGTTTTTTTTTCAAGACAAGCGACGTTTGTACAATGAATTATACATTTTGTTTGTTTTTTTTTAATTATTTTTAGACCTGTATACACTTTTATAGACTGAGCATGTGAGCAACAATGACGTCTTGAAGGGGATGAAAACAAGGAGAAAGCTTATGCTTAATATAAGGAAAAGGCAGATGAAATTTCTGGGACAGGTGATGAGAAAGGAGGGCCTGGGGAATCTGATACTCACAGGACGAATAGACGACGGAAAGCAGCGCATGTCAAACATGGCGTGCTTGGGCAGGTGGATGGCGGAGCGTGGTCTTGGGGAGTTGGCAGAAACACAAAACCAAGAGGGTCCATGATCGGGTACGTTCTGAAAGGACACGGCAGAAGATACAATTTTAATCCTAAATTGAAGAAAACAAATATACCTTCGAAATATTCCTGAACATTGCCAAGCACTGTGTCTTTTTTTTTTCTTTCATTTTATTTCTTAAATCGTACCCTTCTCGAAGAGTTGAAAAATATTGAAAGAGTTTTTTTTTTTTTAGCATTTCACCACAAGCAGGAGTGCCACTAGAGTGCGAGTGAGAGTAAAGAGGCGTGATAGACGAAAGAATGAAGCACAGAGAATAGATCAAAGCATCTGGAGATGTCGATTGACATTACAATTAAATAGTTGGATATTATAGCTATCAGGGAAACAAGTAATAGAAAGGGAATTCCATAGACAAGAGGTGCGAGACATGAAGCTATTGGAGTAGATGAGACGGCCATATTTAACCGTTTCGACAGTAAAAGGGTGGGACCGAAATGCCAGCCTAGTAGAACGCTTAAATTCATGCAGTCTGGGAACTAGCGAAAGTAGCTCGTTAGAGCAGTTACCGTGAAATATTTGTAGAAACAGACAGAGGGAGGCGACGATACGTCTGTGCGAGAGCGACTGTAGACGAGATGCCAGATCAAGACCAATCACATTGCGTGTCCGTCTCTGGATTTTGTCAAAGACCTCGAGACGAACAGCGGGAGCCACAGACCATATATGGCAGCAGTATTCCATGCAAGGACGAATGGTTGATTTATAGATTTGAAGGATGAGGAAAAACTTTCTGGCGCTACACAGAGAACTAACTTTCCTTGCGGTAGATGAAGCTATTGATTCAATGTAGTTAATCCATCTCAGGTCAGTGGACAGTGTGCGACCAAGCAGTCTTAAAGTGGTGCTCTCATGGAGTTGAGCATCAGACATTCTAATGGGTGGCAGGGATGGTTCCCTGTGGTGAGTAATACAGAGTAGTTTTGTTTTATGAGGCAAAGTTAACCAACCTCTGCCAGAAATTTGGAAATGGCATGATGTACTGCTTGATATTCTCGTCAGCAGCTCCAATACGAACATTTCAGAGTTTTGGGGTGTCAATCTGAGGCCAATGCAATGGATTCGAAAAGAGTTTGGTGCCATCATTAGTGACAGCGATGGTATGTTCCTATTTATTTTCCCACAGGGCTTCAGGCTCAAAACGGAAGCCTACATCAAGTGCCTTGAGGAGGTAGAGATGCTTGTGATCAAGAGGGTGTTCGCTGAATGACCCTATGTCTGGCAACAGGACTATGTGCCTTACCACACAAGTAAGTGAACCCAGTCATTTCTGAGACCATACCCCCGCTTACATCTGTCTACCTAACTCCCCAGACCGCTACCCCCTTGTTTATTATGTGTGAGGCGCAGTTGAGCAAGGGACCAACAAAACTTCTTGTGATTAGCTGAACGCAAGAATTATGGCAGTATTCATCAAATTAAACAAGGAGACCGTCCAGAAGAGTTGCAGGAGATCCCGAAGTCGAACTGAAACTATGGTTGAAGCCAATGGCATTTTAATTGACGAAATTTACTCCTTTGTATTTTTCTAATTTTGGTAAATATATTTCTTAACATGAGATGTCAGTGTTATTTTCATTTTGGCGGCATTTAGACGACAATTTATCCATCGCACCCTGTATATCTGTTAAAATGAGATGCCAATGTTATTTTCATTTTGGCGGCATTTAGACGACAATTTATCCATCGCACCCTGTATATCTGTTAAAATGAGATGCCAATGTTATTTTCATTTTGGCGGCATTTAGACGACAATTTATCCATCGCACCTTGTATATCTGTTAAAATGAGATGCCAATGTTATTTTCATTTTGGCGGCATTTAGACGACAATTTATCCATCGCACCCTGTATATCTGTTAAAATGAGATGCCAATGTTATTTTCATTTTGGCGGCATTTAGACGACAATTTATCCATCGCACCCTGTATATCTGTTAAAAT